ATACAGCACTCTGTGAACAGCCAGCTTGTTTGGCAATGAATGTTTGTGGTTTACCCTCCTTGTGAAGGGTGTCAATGATTGTCTCCTGGAGAACTGTCAGATCAGCAGTCTTCCCCATGATTGTGTAGCCTAGTGAACCAAACTGAGTGACCATTTTGAAGCCTCAGGACTTGCAGGTGTTTTGAGTTGACTAGCTGAGTGGAATGTCACCATATTCTAATTTATTGAGATAGTGATTTGGTGGGTTTTTGTTAAATGTGAACAAAATCATCACAATTAAAAGACCCAACGGCTTAAACTACTTCAGTCTGTGTGTACTGAATTTATATAATACACGAGTTTCACTATTTGAGTTGAATTACTGAAATAAATGGACTTTTCCACGATATTCTAATTTATTGAGGAGGAGGACATGCTGCATCAGTGTAAGAACCGGTTGTATTCCAGAAAGCTGGTTCAACAACGCTGAACTAGGAGTTGACCGGTCATGAGATGGAAAATTCTCCGGTTTTGGTTCCAGGACAGCTAATAAGAGGTAGATCAACTATCTCTGAGGTTATGTGAAAAGCCATTATCAATGGAGCTGTGATACAATGATTCACCACGGCAGCAAGCAAATAAAACGCAGAGCCGCCATTTAATCCAGTGAAGCTGCAAATAATAATAATAATAAATAATAAATAAATAATAATAATAATAATAATAAAAACAGCAGTAGCAGTGAAAGAGCCTGAGTTGAAGAAAAGAATAATCTGTTAACATCGTTACATTTTATTCAGCACAGTCCACTCTGTTCATTTGTTTAGCACACTTGGATTTTTTATGGATTCTAAAGTGCAGAAATCCTACTGCTTGTTACATTAATTAAAGATATTTATTCAGTTGTAGGCTGATGGGGACAAACTGACCGTAGCCTCATTCTGACCAGGTAATAATGATTTAGGTGACTTGCAGGTGGAAAATCTGTTAAAATACATATTACAGGCCTATGCATATTCACAACCTACTTTTAAAGTGCATTTAGTCCGGTTTTATAATGTTGACATCTTTAAAGGATAAGGATAATAAGGATAATCACCTTTATTTGGCCAAGGTAAGCTGCTCTACAATTATTCTCACTCAGAGATCTACACTTTGCTTCAATATGAACTGTATGAATGCGGAAGTGAAGCGGGCTTTCACAACTTCTGCAGATTATGCAAGAGAGGGGAAAGTCCTGGTTTTCACTTAACCCCCAGAATACAACATAGACTAATGGATGGCTTGCAGCTTTTTATTTAGCTGCTATTCAGTCAACTTTTCCCTGCAGCCCTACCCTTCTAATAGCCTATTACAGACTGTCCCAGCTGCTTTTCATTACACCTTGCGGGGAATTAGCTCATGACTAGATCTGGGGTCTGACCACATGCTACAACTGTGAGTGAGATGAGAAGGGGAGCCCAAATGGTCGAGTACCCGGATCGTCTGATGCCTGGGCAACGCGTATAAGAGGACCTGTAGCTCCTTCCTTCACCTTCCTGTCATATGGAGCTCTTCTACACGCAGAAGAAATGAATGGCAGGGAGAACGGACCCTGCAGATGAGGCTTCAAACAAGAAAATAAGACTTGAGCACGGCACGCGGATTAATTTGTAGTGATCAGTATCTCACCTGAACAGGATGCCTTTCTTCGGAAAGTCTGGAAAAGCTCGTATGTGTCTGTGAACCAGCTGAAGTTTGGATTCAGACCCTGCATCCATGATAACGGACTGTAAACCTTCATGTGATCAACTCTTGCAGCGGTCTTTCTTCTTATGCTGTTTATCACAGGTCAGCTTATGGTGCATTACCGCCACCTGCTGGACTGGAGTAGACTAACCATAGAGGTGGATGACATTACAGTGTTAATCTTTATCTTTTCCATCGTTGCTTGCTGAGGTCTCTCCTAGTAGTTCTCCCCTTTTATTTCCACTTCTTTTTCTTCCACTTGCCACACAACATAAAAACGTGTTACTGGCGTCATCTGGACAAAATGCGCGTGTTCTCGTTGTTGGTTAAGATGATTTACTGACACCTACAAACTCCTCCTACTCTACAGAGGAAATAATATATAAATAAATATTAACTTAGCAAAAAACTGAATAAATGCGTACAAATGAAATTTATGCATTTATTATTTATTTTTACATTTATGCATTTCCACATGTAGGCCTATTTTATTCCACAGTTAGTCTGTGTATTCTTCATTTCAAGTCTCACATTTGACACTGGCCCATTCTGCTTTTCCGCAGCCAGGGGCCTCTTGACATAAAGCCTCAGTTCTTGAAATTCAGCAATATGTTTATCCTCAATTTTAGCAAAATACCTGCATTACCACTGCTCCACTGTGAATAGTCTCCCTGTAAATGTAACAAGGGTTTTCTCTCTCTTCCTGTGGAGGGCAGTATTACGTCTCACGGTGTACAGCCTGCCGGAAATGTATTAGAAGAAGACCAAAACGAGTCCTCTCGAGTCAAACAGTGAAGTTACAGGTGTAGTGTATGTGCTATGAAATGTCGGTGGCTGCTGGTGGTGTGACGTTGCTGTCCAGGTGTGTTAGACTCCTCTGTGCTAGCTGCGCTGAGGCGCCGTCATCTTTGGCACCTGCTGGATATACCAGAGGGACGAGGTTACATCCTGGGAACGTCAGGCTGATCCACAGCAGAGCACCCGGTACAGGTAAATGGTGTGAGGATATACAGGTGCGTCTCCTAAAAGGTTTCCCAGTGGGTTCGTCCTATTACCTCAGAACGTGTCCTTGTTCCCGTCACTTGCATCTTAGTCCACCGAGGTAAGATGTGAGGAAAAGATGAGAGGAAAGTGGAGCCTTAGAGATGTGTTTTCAGAGACATGGTTCCTCCGATCTCTCATCTGAAGGAATATCAGTTTCTGATGCTAAGAGCAGCTGGACCACAGCTGGAACAGCTGTCAGTCTGCAAGTGTTTGGAGGGGTTTGTTTGCACAGATGATATGAGGTATAGCTACAAGTGGAGCAGTGTAGTGATGTCCTCCATAATGACAAAAGCCAATCTCTGCGTGTTCCCCCTTAAATAAACAGTTTGACAATCACCCTCATTAAATCCCTGTGTTTAGACTGAACAGATTCTCAAAGCACAGTTTGTAAAGTTACTGCTCAGATACTGAAAGCACATAAACTGTTGTGGCAAAATTATCTATTTAAGCTTAGTGAGTGTGAAATAAATACTTAACATCAACTCTGAAAGTTATTACAAATGTATTTCTGCAGAAAGGAGCTAGCTCTAACAGAGTGTCTAACACAGTCTGTAGGAGAGAGAGTTCCCTGAACTGAGTGCTGTCTCTCCTCTTATACACACCCATACAATGCTCAGACAGATGGTCAACAAGTCAAACAGGGAATACAGGATACTAGTTATTTAGCTCAACAGTCACACAGAGTTGTGTAACGATGTAACGATGTTCTGATTAACAATGACAATGTCTTGTAATTTGTAGACATGATTTAGCAGCAAGTTGTGGGAGGTGAAGTCTCACAATGTTCTCTTCCTTCCAAGGGAAGCTGGTGCAGAATGGACAGAAGAAGAAAGCAGTGGTGAGTCGCCACCATATGATGTGTACAATGATCCCAAACACACAGCCAAGGAAACTCTCAATTGGTTTCAGATAGAGAAAATAAAGCTGCTAGAATGGTCTAGCCAATCACCTGACTTAAATCCAACAGAAAATCTGTGGAGAGAACTAAAGATCAGAGTTCATAGAAGAGGCCCACGGAACCTTCAAGTTTGGACTGTTTGTGTGGAAGAATGGGCCAAAATCACACCTGAGCAACACATGTGACTAGTTTCTCCATATAGGAGGTGCCTTGAAGCTGTCGTTACCAACAAAGGCTTTTGTACAAAGTATTAAATACATTTCAATAAGCATGTTCAATACTTTTTCCCTGTGTCATTCCATTTTATTACACATAACGTAATTTCTGAACTTTTTTTTTTTAATTTCTTTGTATGCATGGATTACTTGGGTTGTTACTGACATCTGGTGAAATTTTCATGTCAGCAGCACCTCTAGAAATATATTTAGTGAGAAAAATGGTGACGTGTTCAATGCTTATTTTATCCGGTGTAGTTACTGTAATTTGACTAAATGAGTCATCATGAGTCACCTGCTAACTTACAAAGTCAAATTCAATTTTTATTTGTATAGCGCCACATCACAACAAAAGTCATCTCAGGACACTTTACAAAGTAAGGTCTAGACCTTACTGTTATCACTATTATTATTATTATAAAGGAAAACCCAACAACTCCCTTGAGCAAGCACTTGGCGACAGCAGGGAGGAAAAACTCATACCTTGTCTTGTTTCTGCGTTGCTGCAGACAGGCCTGCTAACATCTGCCTCTTTGCTGCTGTTCTCAGATCTGTATCGAGGGGAATATTGCCAGTGGGAAGACGACATGTCTGGAGTATTTCAGCAAAACTACCACTCTAGAGGTATGACAAAGCAAAGGTCGTATACAGCGATGGTGTGTGGGAAATACCACTGTACTTTTTACACAGGTTTTATAAGATGAATCTGTTTTAGGTTTTTTGCACCCTGTGTACAGTACATCCATCTTTTCTCTGAATACTTTGAATTCCTTCAAAAGATGCTAAAACAGAACAATCAGAGAAACACGGAACCCCTGCATCAGATGTGTTCTCTCTCCTCTCGTTTGTTCCAGGTCCTCGCAGAACCAATCTCCAAATGGAGGAATGTCCATGGGCACAACCCTCTGGTACTGTGTCTGACCTGATATCAGATTTTTTTTTAATCACACCATATTATTCAGAGGATAGGTTCTGGGATTATTAAACTGAATAGTAATTTTTAAAATCAAGGTCTTAATGAAACAAACCAATATAGGCCTTTAGGGGCTGTAGTGTTTGTTTTTGCATTTGGCTTGTACTGCGGTGAGCTAACCCTCAACTCTCCCTAGTCAGTTTGGGTGTGACCTGTGACAATAAGTACAGAAAGATCACCAAAAATGGTCAGGATCCATCCCCTGGACGCTGTGATGGTCCTTATCAAACCTGATGGAGAAGTGTCTGCTTGTCTGGATGTCTCTCATTGGGTCAGCTGTTTGTTTCTCTCCCTGCAGGCTCTGATGTACCAGGATCCTGAGCGCTGGGGCATCACACTGCAGACCTATATTCAGCTCACCATGCTGGATAGACACCTGGCATCAGTAGTAAGAGCACTGTTAACTGTGTCAACCTGCAGTGCTGATAAACATGTTGGTGGAAGTGGACTGTTGATGCAAACGTGACAGTCAGCTGTATGTACTAAAAGCTTGTTGTTGGTTGCAGTCAGCTCCTGTCATGATGATGGAGAGGTCCATCTTCAGTGCTAAGTACATCTTTGTGGAGAATCTCTACAGAAGGTACTGTTGTCTGTGGACTGCAAACCTGAAGCACCTGCATAAGACCAGGAGACTAGAGAAATAAACCCATACAGCAAACACTTTATAAAACTTTCTTCATTGAATTATTTTCCAAGTTACACTGTACAGTACAAAGAATCCCAGTATCCACAAACAAAAAACAAAAAAGTGCATATAACCGTGCATATAACCACAAGAACTACCATGAAGCAGTCCTGCTGGCTGATGTGCAGCATGGCCCATGAAAGATCTGTTATGGTTATCAAATCATCTCATGGTCTGACAACATATGCTACTGATGTCACACTGGTGCTTTTTTTTTTTCAGTGGGAAAATGCCAGAGGTGGACTATGCTGTTCTCAGCGAGTGGTTTCATTGGATCACAACTAATATTTATCTTCCTGTTGATCTGATTGGTGAGAAGACACAAAGCCGAAACACGCAAACATGTTTAATCAAGATTATGATACAGAAAATACAAGAAGTACCATAGTTGTAACATTTGATACACACTTGTAGAAACATTGAAAATCTGATTAGATGACGCTATGAAGGATGACTGGAACCTGAAATCTGCAGTGTTCATAGTGCCGATCTATCTGCATGGTAGAGTGGGGTCATGTTTTCAAACCATGCTTGTTGATCAGGTTTGTCTTTTCCACACCAGGTTGTCATCCACAGAAAATAGCACAAAAGTCATTATTTTCAAAGCAGTTTTGAAGAACTGAAGCCACCTTTTATCAGTGTAATGAAGCAAATACCCCACCGTTCAGTCAACAGAGTCTGATGCCTTGAATGCGTTTGACAGTCAAGCTGCCGCAGCTTGTTTGTGTGCATTCTCTGACTTCTTCCTCTGGCTGCAGTTTACCTGCAGACATCTCCTCAGACTTGCCATGAGAGGTTAAAGCAGAGATCCAGAGAGGAGGAGAAAGTCATTCCACTGGTGAGGACACGAACTCAGAACATACCACTTCATGTCACTGAATAAGCTGTCAGTCAACTTAAAGGGAAATGAATTGGTTTGTGATTCAGTCACTAATGTGCCATTGCTGTAGTACTAGAGTCTAGGGCTCTGACTCAAGCCAGACTCGAGTCCTGATTTTTAGGACTGATGACTTGACTCAGACTTGGATAAGACATTGTTATTAAAACCTGTTGGCCTGCTCCATGCTGTATCTGACACAGTTCCATGGATACATACACTTAGCCTTTCTGTAAATGATTTTTATATTTGGCTATTGTGTCCCGCACAGTAAGTAAACTCCTTTTAAAATGCTGAGAGCTGTGTCTGTTGTGTTTAGTGTAAACCTTGATAACTCAGGCTATTCTTGTTTGACTTGGACTTGACTTGGACTCCAGATTTGACTCAGACTACAACACTGCAATGTGCCATCCTCTGTGTATGGACTGTATGTGTCTGCCTGTTCACCAGGAGTATCTGGAGTCCATCCATCAGCTGTATGAGGACTGGCTCATTAAGTGTACCTCCTTTACTCTTCCTGCTCCTGTTTTGGTGAGTGGCTGTTCACATGCAGGCAGGTCTTTGCTTTGGTTTGTGCAGTTTTTTTTTACATTCAGAACACCTCCAAGTCATTTCAGACGGTGCGTTTACATGGATGTATCTGCACAGGTTCGGCTGCAGCATCCAAGTGACTTCAGGTACACATCTCACTTTTGGAGCAATGAAAAGATGGAATGTTGTCTTTCTATAATGAAAGAATTACATGTAGACTACTCAGTCATTTAGATGGGAGAAAGCTTAGAAATGCTGATGAAATCTATAGTGGACAAGTAGAGGGTGGAGGAGCTCACACTGGCTTTCCCTGTTCAGAGGACACTGACCGTCCAATGGGTGCCAAGTTGCTAAACTGAGCTGAATATGATCAAAACCGGGATACTCAGGGCTGCGTAAACACACTCACCGGCTTGGCACACTTAAGCTACACCATGGTGCGCTTCCACTCAGTCCAACCTGTATTCATGTGATGATATTTGCATGTCCAGATGTCATAGTGAACTGTAGTTTGTTTGTTTGTTTTTTCATGCAGCAGCTGCTGGCCTCAAGTTTCTGATCCCTAAAAAACCCTTTTACATGTATACAGGTGATTCCTTCTGACCATGACCTCCAGAAGATGTTGCACCAATACGAAGAACACCGGGACAAGATTCTAGCTGCTAGCCACCCCTGATACCCAGAAACACACACATTTGTACAGTTATCTTTGTGAGGACACTCACTGATATAATATATTCCTTAGCCCCTTACCCTGCCCTAACCTTAACCATACCAACTAATTGTCTACTTCAGCCATTACCCTAGCCTAAAATTAATTCCAACCTGAAACCTAAAACAGTCTTTACACCTCCAGCAGCCCTCTGTATGTGTTTCAGGAAGTGAGGGCCAGCTCACATGTCCTCAATCCCATGGTGATCCTTACAATACAAGTACAGCACACAGCGCAGTCAGTCAAACTCATCTGAAACAAAAGATTCTAGAAATCTGTTTACAAACCATAGTTATACAATTGATCTGTTACATTTTACTCCCAACTAGAGCTTCTTCTCTGATAACTTATGTTTTCATAAAGGCTAATGCTCACTATCAGCATATTTTTAATTACAAAATCTTCTTAGTGTACCAAAAATGGATATTCTCATGTGCTGAGTGGGAAAGCTACAGAAAGAGAATGAACTTCAGCACAGGCAAAACATTCCACAGTTGTTCTTATAGAAGGAGCAGGGGTAACTACTGTGCCACTGCTCCACCTGCTTCAGATATACACGTCTGTGTATATACTGTCAAGTGGTTCTGCAACCTGACTGTTGTTTCTCTGCAATTCAGTAAACACCTTTTACTCCTTTGTGTTGCTCAGATATGGTAGCTAAGGAAGAGAATAGTACTGTGGGAGATGTGTCCTTCTCGTGACACAGTTTAAAGATCGTGGGGCAATGGAAATGTTGCCACAGGTTTTTTTAACAGCACTTTGTATCCCTGCACACATTCTGTTGTTTTTCTGTAGCTGTGATAATAAAAGCAACAATGACAGGCCAACAGAAAGATCACTTATTTCTCTGGTGTGTGAGGAGACCCTGGTTTTGGTGTTTTTGGGCCACTGGTGTGAAATGAAGTGTATTGTGTCAGCTGCACAGGGACACATCCACCCTCGGAGAGCCGGCAAACTGAGGACCTACACATAAAAGCATTGCTCCACAGCGTTACTAGTGGTCCCCAGGAAGCCTTTAAATAGTCAGACTACTAATATCTGGGATAAATTGGTGAAGCCTTGGGTCAACATAACAAGGAACTATGGAAAACTAATTGGGTAAATAATTAAATATTCATCTTAATTTATCATTATTGATATTTTAATAGAAAAACATTCTTAAATCCAACATAAAGAAGTGGGACCTGTGTTTGGTGTACGAGGTATACATTTAGATAATTAGTTAAAAATTAAGAAGTCCATTATTATCAAATGAATTCAAATGAGGCCATTTCATATACAGTGCCTTGCAAAAGTATTCGGCCCCCTTGAACTTTGCGACCTTTTGCCACATTTCAGGCTTCAAACATAAAGATATAAAACTGTAATTTTTTGTGAAGAATCAACAACAAGTGGGACACAATCATGAAGTAGAACGAAATTTATTGGATATTTCAAACTTTTTTAACAAATAAAAAAACTGAAAAATTGGGCGTGCAAAATTATTCAGCCCCTTTACTTTCAGTGCAGCAAACGCTCTCCAGAAGTTCAGTGAGGATCTCTGAATGATCCAATGTTGACCTAAATGACAAAGGATGATAAATAGAATCCACCTGTGTGTAATCAAGTCTCCATATAAATGCACCTGCACTGTGATAGTCTCAGAGGTCC